GGCTCCCCGCCAGGGCAGGCGGCGACGCGGCGCGCCGGGCGACTTCTCCCGCGCGGGTGGGGCGGGGGGCTGGCCGGGGAACCGCCCCCGCGGACTTTGGCCGATGGCGTCAACTATGCCGGCGCCGCGCTGGGCGCGATTGCACGTGATGCAGCGAGGCTTTGTGTGAGCGACATTTTAACTCCATGCGTTTGTGGCGCCTGCTGCGCTGCCAGGGCGCCGCGAAAAACGATGGGAGGGGCGGGGGTGATGCGCCGGGGGGGAGGGGCGGGGGAGAAGCAGGTCTGGCGACAGGTCGAAGAATGCATCGCGGCCCGGGCCGCCCCCCAGGCGGGGCCATTCGAGTGCCCGCCGTTGCCGGCGGCGTCGCTCACGTGCGCTGAGAGCGCCTTGGAGGCCGTGGCGGCGCGAGCGCCTCGCGGCGAGACCATCGAGCGATTGGAAGCGTTCGAAGAACGCGCCGAGCATCGGCAACTGACGGAAATTCTCACTGGGGCGACGAGAGGAATGGGGGGGCCGCGCCGACCGCCGGCGCGAGAAGATGCGCTTTTCGGTCCGAGAGGTTCTCGGAAGCCGAAGCCTCCAGGGAAGCCTCTGCCCGGGGGGGCTCGGCGCAGCGGACATTTGGGGGTGGGAAGGCGGAGTGCGCGGGCGCCGCCCCGGCGACCGCCTTTCCCAGGCGCGCGCCATCTGGCCCCCGGAGGCCCAGCGGAGGCGAAAGAGGGGGCGGCAGTGCATTCCAAGGCGCGAAGGCGATGATGGCCTGCCACTTTCCAACGGACCGAATAAGTGACCCTCTTGATCGGGGCCTCCCAGCGGCGATGGTGGCCCAGATGGGGGTGGCCACGTAGTTCTGATCACTGATGACGAGTCGGGGGGCCTTTCAGGCGACGAGGATGAGAAAGATGGAGAAAAGCGTCGGGGCCGATGCAGGGGGCCGCCCAGCGGCCCGCCCGACGGGGGCGGGGGTGGCTCCGCTCTCGGGGGGCCCTCGGTCCGATCGCGTTTTCGAACGACGCGATCCGCGATGCAGCCAGCTTCCGAGATTGAAGCAGTAGCGCCATCAGACACGCTGCGTCGCGTTCCCCGAATTGGGAGGCCGCCGCGGCTTGGATCTTGGATGCTCTTGATCTCAAGTAGGTCAAGGCGGAGCCCCTTGAGGGCGCTGGCTCCTTCGGGCGACTTGACTTCATGGTCGCGTCAGATCATGTGAGTGAAACCGGCAATATTGCGCGAGGTCCGACATCTTCGCCGCAGCTTCGGCGCTTGACATTCTAGCCCCAAAGAGAAACCTCACCTCACCTGAGGGGTTGGGGAATCCAGGTAAGATCCTTAGGACTATACAACAACACGTTTCTCCTTCCTCCTTCCTCATTGTTCCGATGCACAGCAAGACCTCTCTCCCTCCTCCTCCTCCATTACTTCTCCTTCGTCCTTGCGCATTCCTATCCTCCCCCTCCGCCCCCCTTACCGTCGATCCAGAGGTCTTCGTGGCAGCGCATGTCGTCTCATTCGAATGAGACGAAAAACTGGGGTCAGTAGAAGGAGAGGGCATGACCGTGTACATGCGCGAGTTCCTCTCAGGTGTCCGTCGGCGGTCGCACTTTCATGCGATTGTAGAAGGGGGCACGCATTTAAGCATATATTGCTAGATTCGGCCACAGCTTTCTTGTTCTGGTACTCGTCCTGGTCCTGGCGCGGGGTCGTTGGGCAAGTCTGAGTCCTGTCGGGGATCTCTCCTGGTCCTTGTCACGAGGCATCCAGCAGTTGCTCGTGCGCTCTCGCCTCGCGTCTTCATTATATAGCCTTTTTGGTTTGGAAAGGTTTGTTTCTGTGATTTTCGCACGCTGTCACATCTCTTTCCTGACCTTAACCTCCCGCGCCTTGGTCGGGCATCGACAGTGGCCGCGGCGGCGGTCGTCGCGCTTCCGCCCCCAGGGGCGGCCGCGGCTGGAGGCGCCCTCGTTCCTCGGGGCGAGCGCGCGGTGCAGATGGTGGTGGACAAGGGCGCTAACGCCGCCCTGTTGCTGCACGCCCGCGCCATGCAGGTGGCGAGGTCCATGCCTGCGCCGCAGGGCGAGGAGTGGGAGCTGAAGATCAGCGATGACTCGCCGCGGATGGCGCACATCACCTCGGAGACGGAAACCTACTGAGAGGGCCAGGGGGATGGGGTGCACACGGAGGGCAGGGGGAGGGGGGGGGGGGGGATAGAGCAGGGGAAGAGGAAGGGCGTGAGGAAGGTGATTGGGGGCGGGGAGGGGGCAGGGGATGGGGGAGAGGAAGGGCAGGAACTGGAAGGGAGTTGGGGAGGGGAAGGGCAAGCAACGGGGTACATGCATGCGTTTTGATGGGTTCCGCAAAGAGTGGCAAGAGCTAGAGATCGCATCCGACCCGTCTCGGTTCTCCGGCAAGAACAAGGATTAAATCCGCCCGATCCGACGCGAATCCAATCGCAAACCGAAGACTGCACCGCCCGTCCACGAAACCTCCTTACCACCCGATGGCTTTGATCGTAGGGGGAGCGAGTTGTAAAGGTTCCGCGTGTGAGGGCTTCGGGTGATAAGTTGTTTGCGGAACCGTCGGGTGATAACCTCAAAGCGAACCCGTCGGGTGGTGACCTATCGAAGCAATCCCTTCGGGTGGCCCCGAACCTTGATCCCGCGCCCTGAGGTGATAACCCTATTGTCGGGGCCTTCGGGTGAAACCATTGGCGAAGCCTTCGGGTGTAACCCCCAAGACCCACGAATCACGGACGATCCCCATTCATCCCATCCCCCCAGCGTGGCCATTTGGGCCCAGACTTTGCTTTAAGTTTCAGCGAACCTCTGAGCAGTTCTCCCAAGGCGGCAATTCTCAGAATGCCCCTCGCGCCACCTTCGCCGTCTTCGACGAAGAAGGCCACCGCCAAGGCCTTGTCGGCATCCGCTAAGAAACGGTCGCCCAAGTCGGGCAGCAGCCCTGGGAGTCCGAAACCATCTGCGCCAACGTGGCCAGAGATCATGAAGCGGAAGACCCAGTTCGAGCACGATTGCGCCAGGGACTCGTTGACGTCGCAGTGGCCAGAGGATCTTCGCAAAATCGCGTGGGAGTTGATCACGAAGCCGTCCAAGATCACCAGCGCTACCAGCCTCATCATGCGCGATGTCCTCTCCAGTGCGCTTGCGCTGAAGCCGAAGCGGGGCGTCAAGGCCGTCGATGACCCCAACGTCGTGGAGCGGGACATTGATAAGAACTCGCAGCGGCCGAAGTATTGGCTCTGGGAGAGCGCCAAGCAGAAGGCCAACGACGGCACCATCACGGAGGGCTTTATCGAGAGGTTCGATCGGAAGGATCGGGATTTCATTCGCAAGCTCACGGAGGCTTTGACGCAGCTTCGCAAGACGTACAAGGTTCTGAGGCAGATGAAGAACAAGCGTCTGGCTGGCCGTATTTACGCCAGGCCCTACCTCTTGAGTGGCAGCCGCTGGCCCGATCTCCTGAGGATGATGACGTCGAACCGGCTCGTGTGGTCCAAGACGGGCGTCTTCTCCTTCGGCGAGTGCAACGAGGACGGCTCCATCACGCACATCAAGCACATCAGCGGCAAGTGGGCCGCGGTTCCCAAGAGCAACTCGGTGGCGGCGGACGATAGGTATTTCGAGGAGAACTGGTCGGACCGCTTCGCTCGCTGCGCGGATGGCGACGGCGGCTTCATCTGCTACACTCGGTTCCAGGATCAGCATGGCGAGGACTGGTTCAAGATCGCGTCTGACCCCGCGGCCATGCTCAAGGAGATTGCCACCGAGGAGGGGGCGAGGCTCGAGGCAGACGTCGAGAAGGTCTCGTCGACGGACGTCGCCGTCTCGGAGGTCGTCGCCCTGGCGGCGGAGAATGCGAAGCGCCGCAAGATGATGGTCAAGGGCCCCCCGTCTAAGGCTCTCGCCGTGGTCGCTCCTGCGCCTCGCAAGGCGCTGCGGCCTCGCGGGGCCGCGCCCGTGGAGGAGGGAGAGGAGGCCATGGCGTAGGGCTGGGTCGATTTGGCTGAGTATGCCGTTCGCTGTGCTCCTTGGTGGCGGTGCGCGCCACGATTTCAAACTGGCGGGGAGGGGGCGATGGGGAGGTGAGGAGTGAATGAATGGGAGGGGGGATGGGGGGAGGAGCACCAGCCATTTTTTAGATCGGCAGCGCTTGGAAAGTATTTGCCCGTGCGGGGGCCCATCTATCCGCCGCCCAGCGCTGCGAGCAGCGCGAGTGTGTTGCCGAGGCATTGGGTTCTGCCTCCTCCGCTTCTCCCTGCTAGGTCCCCTGGGAGTGCGGTGGCGTGAAATCGCGGTTGCTTCGGCCGCTTCTTTTGTTTCTGGCTGCTGGTGGCACTCTCGACGCCAGCGCGCGATTGCACCGAGCTCTTGTAACCAGTCGGCGGAAAGATCCAGCGATGAAGAACTGTGCCTCGGGGCCCTCTTGAGGCCCAAGACACTTGGAACTGATGTTCGCATTGCGGCGGAAATCAGTTCCAGCCCTCTTGGGGCCCTCCTGGCCCCCTCTTGGGGCCCCTCGGAGCCCCCGGGGCCCTCTTGGGGCCCCTCGGAGCCCTCTTGAGGCCCAAGACACTTGGAATTGATGTTCACATTAAGGCGAACATCAGTTCCAGCCCTCTCGGGGCCCGCCTTGGGGCAAACCGCCCGTCACGGACGGTTTGCCATGGGGCAAACCGCCCGTCGCGGACGGTTTGCCTGGGGGCAAACCGCCCGTCACGGACGGTTTGCCTCGCGGCGACCCTTGGGTTCTTTTGTTCCTCCTATTCCTCCTCCTCCTTCTCCTTTGGGGCCCTCCTGGCCCCTTCTCGGGCCCTCTTGGAGCTGTCTTGCCCCTTCCGCGGGGGGGGGGGGGGGGGGGGGGGCCTTAGAAACAACTAATTTGAACGAGATCGCGGTCGGCGGGGGCGCTGAGAGAGCAAGTCATACACATTGAAACATTTGCCCGCTACATATCTGTACCAGGCGAGCGAGTTCTGGGACAAGATGCTGCGCGCCGGCCCGCTGGGCGCGCAGTGCGTCGCGTGCCAGGGCGAGTTCGGCGCCGCCCAGCAGTGGATGATGCCCTTCTGGGGCGACAACAAGCGCGTCACCGTGCCGATCCAGTTCCCCGTTGGCGTTGATGTCGAGGTGGATTGCGCAGTGTGGCGCCGCGAGCAGGACGGTTGCCATGTCTGGTGGAGCGCACCTCAGCTGTTCGAGATGCTCAATCTTCGTATGAGGTCCACCGCGGCCCACTGGATTGCGAATCGGAAGGGGGGCTGGACCAACTTCCTTGGGGAGATGTCGCTGATGTTCTTCCATCTTCGATGCAGTTCACCATGCGCGAATCAGGCGGCGATCCTTGACTTCATGGCCGTCGCCAACCGCCCTCTGCATTTCACGTCCTTGAGTTCCGTGGCATTGGTGGTGTTGCTATGGGGATTGGGCTCGAACCATTCAGCTTACTGCGCCTTTCAGGATGAGGACAACCAGACGATGAGCCTCATGTTGCTGGACGGTCTGGCGGCGTGCCTTCCAGAGGTTCGGATTCGGGTGAACATCGACCCGACCGCCGAACGCGTTGGACGTTACGTTGCTGGGCATCGCGCGAGATACATCACCATGAAGGGCGGCACTTTTAACAGGGAGGATCTGTTCGGCATCCTGAGGGAGACGCGGGATGCGTTTGGGTCGCCCCTGCAGTTTGACAACACTGCCATCTGGGACGATCGCAAGGATGAGTTGACGTTCGCGGACTTGTCGAGGATGTTCAACGATGACGGCCACGGGATCGGAAACGAGAGCATCCTCAAACAGATCCTGCGGGGCTTCGGGTCGGCGCTCGACGCCCAGGTCGCCAGCTCGAACGGCGTCGACGTCAAGCTGGACGACGACGCCGACTTTGCGCCGAACATGTTCGGGGCGGGTGGTGCCGAGGTGGAGCCCGAAGGCGTGGCCTCCTCGCGGATGCTCTTGCGCTACATGCAGGGCTCCAAGCGCCACTACGGCGACCCCGACCGCATCAGCATCATCATGGGCGCGAGCAGGCAGGACCACAGGAAGATGATGCACGGCGTCGTGGTGGACTCGAAGGACGTCGCCGTCTGGGCCCCTCCCCAGGCCCCAGGCTTGGAGATCCCAGATCCCCACCTCCCAGATCCTCAGGATCCAGCCGGCTGTCCGATCGGATATCCGAGTGCCCTCCGTCACCAGGGACTCTGATATCCGAGGCTCCCGCTCGATGCATTCGCACAACTCCTGAATGGATCCCAGATCAGATCCCAGATCTAAATTTCAGATCCCAGATCTGCTGGGGATCTCCTGCGCTGGATCACATGTCAGATCCCAGAGCTCCTGGGGCCCCCTCGCCTTCCTCCGATGAAGAGGAGATGGGGCCGAGGGGGATTGATGGCGGTGGGCGGGGGGATGGGGGCTCTGCAAAGCTTCTAGCCCCCCTCAGGTCATGGAGGACTACTTCAGCGAAGTTGGCACGGGCGACGGCGGCGCGCCGACGGAGGAGGAGAAGGAGCGGTACAGGAAACGCCGCAGGACTGCTGCGCTTGCCCTCCTGAACATCAATGCGGACGAAGGCGCAGAGGGCGTTGCGATCGACCCGAAACGGAAGATGTTCAGGCAGACGTCGTACTGTGCCCTGAAGGCGTTTAACAACATGAGGCTGCATGTGTCAGGCAAGGGGGTATCGGCAGTGAAGGTGTCCAAGTCGGACTTTGAGAACTACACGGGCTGCGTGCAGTGGAGGTCTGACCGCATATGCTCCGACCAGGGCTCGGACATGATGGTGATTCGGCAGTACTTAAGGTCGAGCACTGCTCTATGCAACGTGGACGCCGACGACGACATCAGCCACGCGATCAACAACGACTTCGACCTAGCTAATAAGGAAACGAAGCAATGGGGAATGACGCGCCTCCTTCGCATCGCAAGGAACGCTGTGCACGGACCATGGGACGAGCGGAGGCGCTTCCACCAGCCTAAGGACGTACTCCGAGAGATCAGAGCTTACGTCGACCCTGCCACTTGCCCGATCTGGTTGGAGGCCGTGCCGAGCATCCTCAGCGAGATGGGCAAGGACGAGCGCATGTCGGAGGACCAGATCGAATCGACCTTGTTCCACGAGGTGTTCAACGATATCGATGGCTACTTGGTGACTTCGGGAGTGAAGGATGCACCAGCTCGATGGCGTTCCGACCACTGCCATTCCCGTATTGAGCAGCAGTGGTGGTCGGTGCGCAAGGTCTTGTGGTTCTACTATTCAACAGTTGTTGCAGAGGACGGCGGCAAGGGGTTCGCCAAGAGGATGAAGGAGCTCCAGGCCATGGCGCCAAAGCACGGTGACGGCTCTGGAGACAAGCAGACCATGAAGGTGACGAGCAAGGAGATCGATCGATTTAGGATGGCGGCTACTGGGACATGCCAGTTGGCCGCGGTGGTGTACTCGAACGACAACTACACATGACACGCTAGAGTCTCGCTGGAAATCCAGCGCCCATGGGCAGATTGGTTTTCTGATGCGAACCGCCTTCTCCGCAGCGTGACTCAGACGGTGAAGTGGGAGATTTCGATCCAGGGCGGCATGTTCGGAGCCGTGGCGAAGTCCTTCAAGGTCTTGGACTGCGACCGTCATATGCTATATTACCTCGGGTTCGTGACAGAGCTCATGGTGCGCCCTCCCGATGATGTGAAATCCTTCGACGTTGCGGAGCAGAGGGACTTGGCGAACCTCGCTGGGCTTTGCGCGTGCGTCCTCAATCGCAATCGGTACCAGCGGCTTCTCGGCTTACTGCGGGGGTGGCCGAAACGCACCGTCATGATGTTGTCTGAGGATACGGAGGTAGCAAATAAAACAGCACAGATGTCCAGGAAGATTTCCAGAATTTCAACCAGCTCAGGTCCATAAAGAAGCCGGCTTGGATTGCACGTCGTCGCGAGGATTCGCCATTCATCGCTGTCCCCGTCAGGCAGCATATTGGGTGTCTCATGGAGGTGGGCCACAACGTGGCGAACCCCAACGACAGGAAGTGGCTCAAGAAGAATCGGACGCGCCCGTTGCTCAGCCAGGCAGTCGAGGACGGCTTCTGCCGCGGAGTGAAGGACATTGACAAGGCAATGCGCCAGGACCGTAGCCGCAACAGGGCCTGGGCGACGCTTATCGAGAAGAAGATCTTGAGGGAGGTCCACGATCACCAAGACATGGACTTCTCCTGGGTCAATGACGTCCGCAACGCGCAGGTCCCAGCCGAGGTGTACCATCAAACGGCGACATCTTTCGATAAGGAGGGTCACTTTGGCAAGATCAAGGGTCCGAAGAGGGACCCTGCATGGCCCAACTTCTCGGCGGTCACCGATCACCAGCCAGTTGCTCAGATGGAACTCCTGTGCCACGTGAGGGAGATGGGGATCGCGGTTGACCACGTCAAGACGACGATGTACTGAACCTTGGCCAAGCCAGCTCACGTGGTAGTCAGGAAGAAGGGCGATGCCCAGTGGTGCCTCTCCACGGGCGACTTGCATGGCATCTACGCGCTGGGCGTGCCAGTGAAGCAGTTCCAGATGGTTACTACGAAGAGGGGGTTCTACAAGCTTGACCTCGACGGCCAGTTCACTAAGTTCCAGAAGCTGTTCATGACTGACGCGTCTGAGTGGGGCGCGTGCCACGTGGAGTGGGAGCCGCCAGAGACATCCTACATCGCGGAGGGGTGCGTGGACTCCCTGAAGACCGACATGTCTCTTCGAGCAGTCGCCTCTGACGGGCGCGGGCCCCTGCTGGTGGTCGCTGCTTCGAGGGCCTTCTTCGACTTGGGCATCGCGGCGCTGAAGGAGATCTGGGGGCTCCAGGGGTGCGGCAAGATCGCGGGCTCCCCCAACCTTTTCCAGATGCTGAAGATGCTGTGCCAGACGGTCTTGCAGTGCGAGGAGTACGAGCTGACCAAAATCCTCCAGCTCCGAAGCTTTTCGAACGAGGGCGAGGGCGATGCACTCGAGAAGATGGAGGGCGCGTGGGACTGTCTCACGAAGAAAGAGATGGAGGCGGCCGCAAAGAAGAAATATTCGAAGGAGGCTCACAAGGCCAAGAAAACATAGTACATCACCGACTACAACACATGGATGAAGGAGACGAAGGCCAAGAACGGCGGCGGCGGCGGCAAGAAATGGAAACCTTCACAGTGGGCAGGCCCAGCACGCTGCCCTGATCGGGCGATCGAGCAGCCCGAGGCCAAGCAGCACGTCCCGCCCTGCACCTCGATCTGGCGCGGGAACCTCGGCTCAGGGGGCTGGCACGTGCACAGCTACGACGAGCGCAAGAGCAGGTCTTGGGTTGAGGAGGGTTCGTGCATGGGCGCATTGAAGTTTGTGCTGAGGTTTGCTTGGCGCAAGCATTTGGATTTCCACGAACTCCCTTTGACGGCGTGCCCGATACAGGGCTTGTTTTCAGGCAGTGGCGACCTTGCGGTTGCTGGTTCTGCTGCCGGCAGCAGCGGCTGATAGCAGCGGCAGCTGGTAGAAACAGCTTTCAATCAACGAGTGAACACGCACACACACACAACATGAGAAACACATAAACACAGCCGGCCTGCAAACCAGCATTTCAATAAGCTTGACTCGTTCACCTCGTCGCGTTGCATTTGTCCTCAGTGCTTCTAGTTTTTTAGTTGGCTCCGACTGCTCTGGGAATGCGCGCTGAATCTAAGAAAGCTCACCCGTGGGCGTGATATCAGTTTCACATTCAGTGCCGCTGGGCGGATCTCGGAGCCCCTGGGGGCCCACCTAGTAGATAGAATATCAGCTCCCCTCCTCGTTCCCGCACTCCCCGACCTCAGCATTATGGTACTCACGTCTACGATGCCCCATGTCCTTGCCTCGCCCGCCCACGTCCCCATTCCCCCATCGCCCCCTCGCCCTCTTCAGATCTTCCTTGATTTTCTTGTATTCGCCCCCTCTCTTACTCTTACCTCCAGTTCACTCTTGCCCTTATCCTTGCCATTCCTCTTACTCTGTCTCTGACTCGGGCTCTCGATCTCTCTCTCTTCCCCTATCTCTCTTTATCTTTCTTACTCTTTCTCTTACTCTTAGCCGCGAGCCTCGAGGCGCTGGCTTCTTCGCCACGCGCAGGGAGGTTTCGCGCTCTCGGGCGCCCCTCGCCCACAGCGGGGAGGCTTCGCGCTCTTGGGCGCCCCAGCTGCGCCCGAGCAGCGGGCTCGAGGCGCTGGCGCCGAGCGAACGTCAGAGTTGGCGCTGCTGACGCCCAGCGACGCTCGAGACAAACGGTTTCGATAATTCACGCGAGAGGTAGAGCGGAGTGGAACGCATGGTTCCGTGCATTTGCCTTCTCCTCCACCTCTCTCCTCCCGCGCCTGCTTGCTGCTCCTCTGAGTGGGCCCAAGAGGGCCCCAAGAAGGCCCCCGGCGAGCCCCCCGGGAGGGCGCGGGGGCGACGCTCGAGTTGCGCGCCAAGACCGACCTCGTTATGCAGATCTTATGTGCCCTCTTGGGGGGCCCACTGGGGGCCTTCCTGGGGAACTTTGAGGGCGCTCCCGACGCCTGGGGGCGGGGCGCTGAGGCTAGGAGAGGGGGGGATGGGAGAAGAGGGGGAACGAGCAAAGTGAATGATGTGGCGAGGAGGCGGGAGGGAGGGGGGGGGGAGGGAGGCGGAGGGGTAAGGGGGGGGGGGGGGGGGGGGAGCTGTAAGAGGTAGGAGTGCGAGGAGGCTCGCGAGATTGAGGAGTCGAGAGCGAGGCTTCGTGAGGGTCGAGCTTGCGTCTTGGAGGTTTTAGTTGCGCTTCCCCTTCTTCTGTCGCGCCATCGTCGCCCACTGGGGCCAAGGGCGCGACAGTAGGAGGGGGGCATGCGAAAACTTCCGAGGCGCGAGCTCGATCCTACATGTCAGTTCTCCTCGTTCCTCTGGTCCTCCACTTCGTTCTCCCTCGTTCCCCCCCCCCCCCCCCTCGCCTCCTCCCTCTCCTCGCCCTTCCTCCCGTCCTCGCGGTGCCATTTTGGATCGATCGTGTCGTTCGGCGCGCGCTCTCGGTAGCTCAGAGAGCGCGCCTCGGCGCCCTGGGGCTCCCAGGTCGGGGGGCAGCGCCCGTTATCGGGACGTGCCGCTTCCTCTCAGAAACCTGCGGCTTGATGGGGCATCGCACTAGCCATCCCTATGATTTCCGATCTCGGATCAGTTTGACCGCCAGGGAGGGGTAAGGTTTGTCTTCAGGGCAGTAGGCATGCAAGGCGGATCGCTGTGATACTGCCATGCTGAATAAGACGGCAACGTTGAAAGGGCCGGCCCATCTTGCGGATCATTGCCGCGCGCGTGACCACGCGGGAAGACCGCGGTGATGTGCGCGCGTGCTGGGGCCTGATGGGGGCCGGGGTCCCCGGCGCGGGCAATGGCGATGCTGCCGATTTGTCTGGTTTTCACGTCGAGTGGATAAAGAAAGTAATGATCGATATGAACGGGCCCCGCAAGTCCTTCCGACCATCCGCCCAGGAACGCCTCTAATGGGAGATGAAGAAGTGCCCGTGCGCGGCGGCGACCCGAACGATGTGCGATCGCGGCAGCGACCCGCGCTGCTAGGGCATGTAGTCGTGCGAGTGGCTGTTCTGGCAGTTCAGCCGGCGCCCGCGACCGAACTGTCCAAAAGAAGCAACTCGACGCCCGAGGATTGCCGGGGGGGCGGCGGTGGGGGGGGCGGCGGCGAGGGCGGTGGCGACGTTCCCTCGCGCGCGCAGGGTGACCGCTTCAATCGGTCGCGCGTCGCAAGTGCGCGAAGGGGCTCGCCTGCGCGCGCGAGCGCGGTGCCGGTGCGCGCGCCCTCAGAAAGGGGCCCCCGCCCAGACGCAAGCCGCTCCAGGACGGCCCGCGGCTGCTCTGGCTCGCGTGGGCGGGGGGGCAAAAAGGTAGCGAGGAAAATGAGAAGACGGAAGAGGGCAAGTCCAAGTGCGAATCGCGCAACATGTCCGAAGACCTGGGGCGCAGTCAGTCTCCGGGCAAGGGGCGGAGGGGGGGCGATGCTTCGAGGCGGCGATCGCGGGGCCGTGCTTCGAGCAGAGACTCCGCCACGGGCGGGCCGCGCTGCGCGCTCAGTCGCGGGGCGCGCCCGCTGCCCCGGGACAGATGCCCCCGGCGGCAAAAGGGGGAGCGCGGAGATCGAGAAATTGTCCTGGGGCAAGTGCGAGGTGAACTCCGATGGGGGCTGGCAAGCCAGCCCCGTGCAAGCGGAAGCCGACCCGGCGGCCGTTGCCGCCGAGAGCATTGCCAGGAACGCGGCGCCCCGAGGGCCGGGCGATGGCGAGAACCAGGGCGGCGCAGGGAAGGGCGAGGGCTGAGGGGGGGGGCAGTGCTGGAGGCGCTCGGCTGGGCAGAGGCGTCCTTTCCGCGCGAGCTGTCGGGGCCGCGCGAGTGCTCCAGGGCATCCGTGCGGCCGGGGGCCGACGTCTGGCAACGGCGTTGTCGGCGTCGGCC